ACCACCTGAATTTATTCACTGGACAGGTGCGCTTCCTTTTTTTTTTTTTTTGTTTTTTTTTTTCTTTCTTTTTAAATATCGTTTCTGTATCAGTGTATCGTCTTGGCTTCATCACTACTTACATTTGCATCTGCGTGTTGCTTTCTCTCCCAACTTCGTATGTATTTATATAATAATGGGGATTTGTATTTGTTTGTTTGTTTTTTTCGTTTTGGCATTAGCTCAACTTAAAGATGCTTGCTTTTTTATGTTTTGAGTTCAAAATTTTGCTTCAAAGTTTTTTCTTGAGCCATTATTTATTTTTTATTTTTAAAGTCTACAGTGTTTACCTTCTTTGAAGTTACTAATAGTCTAATACATTAGAAAATGGGTTTATTTTTTTTTTATTGGGTTTCGAGGTTTAACCATGACCTGCATGTAAATATCCATTATATATATATAATATATATTTTCTCCTTTGGATCTGTATATCCTCTTTCTCTAGCTGTTGATATCATTTTGTATCTGTAAATCTTTGCTGCCTTGGTTTGAAGCCTGATTTTCTGGGTACTGAAGTGATATCTTATTAGTTTTTACAGTATTTCTTCGTGGTGCTTTCAGTTTTGGCTAGTTTATATGAGCTTAGATTTTGCTCGAAGTAATGAGAATTGGGTGAATCTCGAGTTGGGAGCACGCTACTGTGTGTTGTGCATTTAAGATTGTCATTGTAAAGCTGTTGTAATTCTTTGAAGATTTCACATGAAATAAATTGTTAAAGATAGTATCATAACTGCTTAGATATACATGTTATTTCTGTTATTTTTCTTTAAGAAGCTTAGCTAATTATGCCAAACTTTGGATAGTTGTTGGGGGTTACTCTTAAAGTCTTAATCTTGATTCCACCCAATATTTCATGCCAAATCTTGTGGGGACGCTGCTATGTAATGTTGCATTCCTTGCAAATTTTTCCTTCCCAAAAATGGGTTTTCAAGGACATCCTACAGTTGGGGTTGTTTTACTTTTCATGCTAGTGCAAGTTGCTCTGCCATGGGTGAAACGACAAGATGCTTTAGTTTTAACTTTGAACATATTGTTGGGAAAGTCTTTTTATTTGATAATAATTATGTGGTAGACATATTACCATGTACAATATTACTTTTTTCTTTTTGGGTGGTGGGAGCTTGATTTAATGTTGGATCAATGGATTGTCACATCGTATGAACTGTTACTATCAGCATCACCTTTGCGGGCAAGCTATGGCAACCATGGCTTTAGGTAGGATTGCCTGGTCTGAGTGTTTTCTAATACTTCTATGGAAGTGATCTTTCTTACTAAATAGACTTTTGTTTGGAATTTTCCAACCCGTGGTGTTGTATCAAAAGGGATTTCTTCAGAATATCCTCTGGTGGAGGTCGAGAAAGTTTTTGAATGCTTAGGCTAAGTGTTAATAAATGTCTTTATGGAGGTAGAACTGGTGATTGGGTTTAATGTTTTGTGTGCATATATATTATATGTTAGTACGATTAAGGTCCTGCTTCTGTGGATCTTCGTTTTCTAGCCAGTCATGGTATTCTAACTATTGTTATGATTGTTCACAATTTTAATATTCTGTTGGAATTAAGAGTCTTTTCTTTTAAGGATTGTGTTGTTTAGAAATTCTTTTAATTAATATTTGATGTTGGCTTGCAGTAAGCAGGTTTACTCTTAGGCACGGGGTTCCTATGGAACCTAATGGTCATAGGGTGGTGAGAACGAGGGATCATCTCATTCAAGAAAATGGTGATTCTAGTTTATCATCTGATGTTGATGGACTGGATCCATGGACTGCGTGGGCATACAAGCCGCGTACCATTTCATTTTTGCTTATTGGTGCTTGCTTTCTGATGTAAGTGCCCAGCCCAGTCAAGAAATATTTGCTTTAGATAGAGTTAAAGGGGAAATGGTCAACCCTACATTTTTCATCTTTGTGGGACTGACATGTTTGTCAGCAAAATTTATAGATTTCCAGCAGAATTCTTTATGCTTTAGGATCTGGTTGGAATTTCATCTTTCTCTTTGATTTAGAGGAGCTAAAGGATAAGGAATCTCCTGGTTGTCATAAAATACTCAGCTTTCCCTGTGCCCAAGCAAGTTGTCTGTTGCTTGTACCTTACTTTGGAAGGGATGTGCTGTTGCAGATGTAACCATAAAGACCCAAATGGATGGGGCTTTTGTTCTTGAGATCAACAATAGGTTGTTGGATACAATGAAAACTACTTTTTCAAAAATTTTAGGCTAGTGGGCAACTGACTTTATAATTAAACAGATATTACTTTTTCTTTTTTTTCTGTTTTCTTTTTGCCTGTAAAAATTAATTATGATTACCTAATTACTTTTTCTAACTTGCTTATATTATTCTCTCGTACTCCCCCTTGTCACACACTTTTAAAATAAAATATTGTTGTATTTAATTTCTTTTCATTAATTTTTTCTGCATGTATTTACCAGTTGGGCAAGTGGTGCTCTTGATCCTGAAAACAGGGAAGCCAGTGATCTCGTCACATCTGTAAAAAGGTTTCATCTTGTTTGCTTATGTAGTATATTACATGTTATTATTTGACCTCTTTTCATATTTATTATTGTGTTTAAAGTGATTCCAGTATACTGTTTTTTGTAGGGGTGTATGGGCAATGATTGCTGTTTTTCTTGCTTATTGCTTGCTACAGGCCCCTTCTACGTAAGTCATTGGATGTAGTTTTGTGTACAACTTGCTTTGGTTTCTCTGTTTTCTATTCAATCCTCTAGTTATAGGCACCTAATGATTGTCTCATGTTGACATGTAAAGATATTTAAGATATGATATTTGGTGTGTCTAGAAGTAGTGGCCTTAACTGGTATTTATCTCTAGTGATTCACCTTGGCTCTTAGAATTGTGGGAATATAGTTGTATATGGTGATTATCTGTCAATATGGATTTTAAACAGTTAGCCCTTTAAACTTTAACTATTAAACTTTATCCTTTCTTACAGGATCCTTATTCGGCCTCATCCTGCAATTTGGCGGTTAGTTCATGGAATGGCTGTTATTTACCTTGTTTTCCTAACATTTTTGCTTTTTCAGGTTAGTTTCCTTATGCACTTGTGTTCCATTTCAGAATGATCAGGGGAAACTTATGTGAATCCTTTAAAATTCTTAGTTTATGCCATTGTTGTGTTTTTCCACTTTGAAGCTTCTACCATTGATAACCATTGTCCTATCTGTAAATATATGAGTTCTTTTCATTATCTAAAGTTCAATTAATGGTGTTATTGAAAGTTGCTTTTAATTTCTCTGTTTCAGAAGCGTGATGATGCCCGTCAATTCATGAAGTTTCTCCATCCTGACCTTGGCATTGGTAATGTGTTTCCACTCAATAATGCTGTTAAAATGAATTGCTCTTCTCTCTCCTGCTTGTATCGATAATGAATTTAAATTTTCCAACTTTTTCATCATTTATTTCATTCGCTTAACTCCTGTTTAAATGACTCAATGCCAGAACTTCCAGAAAGGTCATATGGTGCTGATTGTCGAATATATATTCCTGACAACCCTACGAGCAGGTTTAAGAATGTTTATGTATGAATTCTTCTCTCTCAACCTGTGTACATCGCTTTTACTTTTCTCCTGATTCTCTTGATCTAGATCACTATGCTTTTGTGTCCTGGATACTTACTGCTGCTTTTTGGAATTTCCTAGGAAACACTTTTTGATGAATTTGTCCTGGCCCATATTTTTGGTTGGTGGGGCAAGGCTATTTTAATTCGCAATCAGCCGCTTCTCTGGGTGCTTTCAATCGGATTTGAGTTGATGGAGGTTAGCATCTGATGCTTATGATATATCTGTTGTCCAGGTTTTCCACTCAATGGATCACCTATGTATGTCCAAGATCTTCCTTTTGCATCAGTAGACTGACTTTGATCCTTTTGGCCTTCTCAGTTTACCTTCCGACACATGCTACCTAACTTCAATGAATGTTGGTGGGATAGTATTATTCTTGACATTTTGATATGTAATTGGTTTGGTGAGATTCCAGAAGGACTGTCTCTTATCTTCATTTTACCTTTCACGCATTCTTCTTCTATCAATTCTGCAAAAATTATGCCATGATTGCATTAGCACTTATTCTTGTAAAGGCCATGCTTGCAGCCAAATTTATAACATGATATGTTTTGTGTTCTGCTAGGTATTTGGGCTGGAATGCACACTGTCAGGTACTTTGATGGAAAAACATATGAGTGGGTTGGTATAAGCCGCCAGCCTAATATCATTGAAAAAGTATGTTTTATTTGCTAGTTATCTGTTTGGTATTGAAACTTGTTAATTTATCCTTTTATTTGTGTAAATAATTCCTCTGCTATTTACTCATTGTGTGGGTGATAAATTCAAATCACAATGGGATGCCAGGTTAAACGAACGTTAGGACAATTTACACCAGCACAGTGGGACAAAGATGAATGGCATCCCCTTCTTGGTCCATGGCGTTTCATTCAAGTTTTGAGCCTTTGCATTGTGTTTTTGACAGTGGAACTAAACACATTCTTTCTGAAGTTTTGTCTTTGGGTTCCACCTCGAAACCCTGTGATCATATATAGGTTGATCTTGTGGTGGCTAATAGCAATACCCACCATTCGTGAATATAATTCATACCTTCAAGACCGGTACTTTCTGTTCCTCTCTGTTTGTCTTCAGTTTTGATATCTGCATAACTTCAAGAGGACATCAAAAATCTTTTGGAAAATTCATTTGTCTTCAAAATTGCCTTCCTATTTTGTGCAGGAAACCAGTCAAGAAGGTTGGAGCATTTTGCTGGCTTTCCCTTGCAATCTGCATTGTTGAACTACTCATTTGCATCAAATTTGGACATGGTATGTTCCTAAATCTGTACAAATACAATCTTAAAAATTTACTTAATAAGATTGGAGATGCTGAAAATGGATGTGCTTTGTTGAAATTGAACACATAGTAATAACAATTGTTTTTGGTTCTCTGCCCTCTTAGGCTTATATCCTAATCCAATGCCAAAGTGGCTTGTGATATTCTGGTCATCCGTGGGCACGGCACTGCTTTTATTCCTTCTTGTTTGGTCCTGGAAACTGCATCAGAGCTTGGTGAAAAAGAGACAATAATTTTTTTCAGAGACGGTAGACTATTCTTTTATTCCTTACTTTTTGTTGTACTGATATTTGTACATACCTATGGATTTCATTAGCATAAATTGTAAATGCATATTTCTCTTAGGTTTAGCGGATCACAGATTGAAGCCAACTGGTTATTTAAACTCACAAGATATTAGTTTGCCATTATTTGCACCTGAAATTTTCCCTCATGTATCTCATATTGTTCACATTCAATTTATTTCGATTGAATTTATCAAGTGCTTTGCCTTGCGAATGTCATTTATCACTAATCCTTTTTTGTCTGTATAAAATCGCAATTGGAAACAAATTATACCAACAATATGAACCGATTTACCATTTTCCTTGCTAGCTTAGAATTTACAACTTTGTGGTTTTTTTTTTTTTTCTTATTTGCATAATAAGAATCAATCATCTCTCATCTCTTATCACACCTCATTCACATGCCATGCGACTTGAACTTAGAATCTCTTATTATTAGTGGAAAGAGATAATCATTAAATTATTTAAGTTGTTAATTATGATTTTGTGGCTTCAATTTCGATCAACATAGTCTTTAGAACCAACAAAATACGATAATCTTTTTTCTGAGTTTATGTATACTTTTTTTAAATGATATCACAATTAAATGGATTTTTTTAAATATATTATGTTAATATGAAGGTGTAATTTAATATTTTCTCAAAAGTTTATTTTTTATACTATCTCCTTAATATTTAGAAGTTACATTAAGTCCAACTAGTTTAAAATCAAGTTATGTTAAATTTTTTTAGAGAGAAAATCTTTTTAACATTTTTTTTTCTATTTATAAAATTTGAATTTAAAACGTTACTTAAAAGATAATCAAACTCTTTCCACTTATACTAATACATCGTTAGTTTCAAAAAAACCTATTATTTTTTAGTTGTGAGCAATAACATTCTGATAATCCAAACAATCAGTTTACACTTTAAAGTTTAAATATTTATTCCACCTCATAAATACTTTAAACAACTTGTAATGGATAAATACTTGAAAAGCTTCTTAATTGGTCTTTCTTTTTTTTTTTTTTTGTAAAAGGGGGAAAATACAACTACAAAGGATCAGGGGGGTCTAACATACTGAACCCCATAGGCATCCGCTAGGCTTCTTAATTGGTCTTTGGCATGTCAAAAAAGCTTCTTAATTTTCACCTTAAAAAAGGCTTTAAGTGAAAATAAAGAAAATAAAAAATTATTGTGTAATTTAAATTGTCTAATTAAAATAAATAGATGAAATGTAATTTCCTGATGTTGAAATCTCATTTAATGATTTTTATTATTTTATAGTAGATACAATTTAAATAGTAAAATAAAATTTTCTAAAGGAAAAA